ATTGGCTTAGCCGGGGAGGGTTTCAGTGTATGTGTTTAAGCCAGGGAGGTATGAAGTCAATTGGCAAGGACGGTTTCCAGTGTATTCGCAAAGCCAGGCAGGGATTGAGTAAATTAGTAACGTTAGAGAGGGTTTCAATAGAGTGGCAAAGACGGGGAATACCCTGGCACAGCCTCCAGGGAAGGTTTGAGTAAATTGAAGAATCAAGGATGCTGAGTAATCTTATTGGCTATGACAGGACTGTTTCAGTAAATCGGTAAAGCCAGGGACGCCTGGTAAAGCCAGCGAAGGTTTGTGTAATTTGGCAAAATCAGGGGTGGTTTCAGCAAGGTTTCGAAGCCAGGCAGGGTCTCAGTAAATTTGCAAAGTAGTGAGGGGATTTGGGAGGTTGGAATTCCATGCTAGTGCAGGCTTTCGAAGGTGTGGCAAATTCGACGTTGCAAGTTGCTGTGATCTCATCTGTCGTGCTGAGGCCGAACTTTCGCCGGAAGAACAGATGACAGTCGCATGGAAAAGAGTGCGAGTCACCAGAAGGTGAGTCTAAAGATAGCAGATAGTGTTGATAAATCAATGCATTAATACGATCTCAATTGCACATATTTATACCGTCATGTGAGATTGGCTGTTCTGTTGGATGCGGCACAGTACAATCAGAATCCCAACTCGCAAATGCTGCTCACTGCAGCCCCTGTGCTAGCATTGAATGATCTCGTGCAGGAGATGACAGTGATGATTACTGATGCTCGGTGACCGTGGTATGAAAAGTCATGCACATCTATCAAGCGAAGGGCACGCTGGGGACGTGCCCATTCGGCTATGCCATAGCCGAATCATGGCAGGTTCCGAATAAATCCCGTTTGCAGCTCTCTCTGTTCTCCACATTTTTTCGCAATCTTGGTTTCTTATCCCGACCAGCATGTCTAGATTATTCGGCTGTTACGGGCTTCGCCCATTACGCACGGGTGATCCCCGCCCTGTCGTACGTTCGCTCGTAAATACGAACATAGATGAATAAATAAGCAAACAAATAAACAAATAACTAAATACATGACAAAGTAAATAAGCGAATAGATACATAGATACATATGTAAACATATATATATACACATCTATTTACACGTACATACATACATATGTACTTTGTTAGGTATATATATATATACAAAGAAATTAAAACGCGAAGTAATTTCGTTTCCCTTCCCATCATCCCGCATTTGTTCCCATCGTCTCCTGAAGCAACTTCGAGCATGGGCTGTATAACCCCATCAACACCTGAGAAAGCCACGTAGCCGGGAGGAATCCGGCGAATGATAGAACAGATCCCCGATTTGTGATATCACACACAAGACAGGAAGTACAATAGAGTTCCGCACGTTGTGATATCACACACGAGACAGGAGGTACGACTTGTAACGGGCATTGCGTTTTGTATCTTGTCATATCGCCTACGAAGCAGCTGGGGTTAGGATTTGTCACGGGCAGTGTGTTCTGCATCTGTGATATCACAGACGAGTCAGGAGAAACGACTTCTTATGCTAGTGCCTTATGCATCTTGTCATATCACACATGAGACGGGTGGTTACGATTTGTTACGGACATTGACTTATGAATCTAGTGTGATCACACACGAGAAGGCGTACGGTTTGATACGGGCATTGGTCTCTGCATCCTGTGATATCATCACACGAGACAGAAGGTACGATTTGTTACGAACGTTGGGTTCTGCATTTTGTGATATCGCACACGAGACAGGGGTTACGATTTGTTACGGGCATTGGGCTCTTCATCTTGTGATATCACACACGAATTAGGGGGTACGATGTGTTACGGGCATTAGGTTCTGCATCTGGTGAATATCATACACGAGACAGGGGGTACGATTTGTTACGGGCATTGGGCTCTGAATCTTGTAATATCATTCACGGGACAGGGGGTACGATTTTTTACGAGCATTGTGTTCTGCATCTTGTGATATCCCAGAAGAAACAGCAGGAGTGCGATTTGTTACGGTATTTGAGGTCTGCATCTTGTGATATCACACACGAGACAGGGGGTTACGGTTTGTTACGGACATTGGGTTCTGCATCTGGAGATATCACACACGAGACAGGGGTAGGATTTGCTACACGCTTTGGGCTCTTCATCTTGTGTTATCACACACGAAACATGGGGTGCGATTTGTTACGGGCATTAGGCTCTGCAGCTTCAGATATCACACACGGGCCCGGGGGTACGATTTGTTACGAGCATTGGGTTCTGCATCTTGTAATATCACTCACGAGTCAGCGGGTACG